ACCTCTGGTGCAAATTACTGACCTCTGTCATCATTTTAAGTGGGGGAACTTGCACAATCGGTGGCTGACTAAATACTTTTTTGCCCCACTGTATATAAATAAAAGTGGTGTAATGTTTGTTTACCTTTGAAGGGTCCTTCAGTACACCTGTAGAGACAGAAGAGCAGCATTAGTCATAGTCTAGGTTGGTAATGTGTGATAGCAGGAAATGACAATAGATTTCACTTTTTTCTCTGTTCGGACAGCTTCAGGCTGCTGATTTCTGACAGCACAGAAGTTAGTTTCAATTCACAGCAGGTCAGAAAAAAAGATGAAGCTGACAGAAAGTGTGTGTACCTTCTCTGCCGGTTGGTAACATCTCCCCTTATAAAAAGATGGAAACAGAAGAATATCAACGAAAAACCACAGACTCCTCAAAGCACACAGAGCTGGATAGATTGACAGAAGACTAGATGGATGGAAAAACAGATGAATGGATGGACAGATGGCTGGTGGAGTGCTTTATGAATACATGGATTAGTCTGGTTCTTATATAGAGCTTTTCTACACTGAGGATTCAAAAGTGCTTGCGCAAATGGGTGAATGAGTCTAAAAACCAAATCCAAAACCAATCCACTTCAGTCTAACTAGATAACTAACTAGATAACACGAGCTAAACACTACATTTCTATATGTGGGTGTGGCTTAAGGTGGGCATAATACCATTGGCTGTTTTCTTCTGTTGGTCCTCCCATGTGACCTCTGCATAGTGCGGACAAAGAGAGGTGATTGGTCAGGCTACACTAATGCTCATACTCTAGTCAGATGACCCATCCAAACCAGCACCAAACCGCAGTGATATAAACACACCTGAACAGCAACATTTTGAGCAGGTTACAAATCTGAAATTTATCATCTGTTCTTGTCTTCTTTAAGTTTCATGTGGATGTTTCACGTCTCATCCAAGAGGCTTCTTTGGTTCTAAAAACCAAACGGTGGAGAGTCACAGCTATTTAACCCTAGCAGGGGTTGTTGTCCCTTAAGAGAGTTGCTGACACACTATTAAGAATTTACCTCATCACATGAGCCAAGGTGTTAATAAAAAGACATGGGTCATTAACACCCAAGGGAGAAACCAAAATAAGAAGGAGGACAGGACTAATAGTGGGTCATTGACTCTCTCAACAGCCCCCAATATTCAACTCATTTCCATTTTATTTATATTATGCCAAATCAAAAGTTACATCAACAGTTACCTGCTTTATATTGTAAAGTGTAAAACTAGGGTTTAAACACCAGGGACTCTCTATTTGATTTTTAGAACTAAAGAGGCTGCTTGCTTTTCAAGCTCCTTACACTCAATGAATTGGATGACTGAGAACCTACACAGACATCATCTGTTGGTTTTACTGAGCCTTTGGGGGCAGTTACCAAGAAAATCTGTTTCTGACTGGAGATAAATGTTTAAAATTTGAATCATCATAAGATGCTCGTGATGGATCCTAGCCTGAGCTTAAAACCCCCCTCTCTCTTTCTCCACACAAAACTATAAATTTTCATCACCTAAATGCTGCGGCTATACTCATCTTCTTACAAACCCTCATAGTTTACATGGTGAGGATCACCTGACACCTCATTAGATCCACCAGTGACTGGACTTGCCTTTTCTGGTTCCTCCTGGTGTTGCTGAGCGCCTATCCGGCTCTGACATGCAGGGTAATATGTGATGGCGTTATGTAAACAACATGAACACATGAATCAATAAGTAATGATTATGATAAAGAATGTCTGACAGACATCTGACTAGAAGAATCACGCTAATTGTTCTGTGCTATTGGAGATGCATTGAATGTTAAACCTGATGTACACACCTGGAGTCTGTGGGGGTGGGACTGGTGATGGGGCGGGTGAAGGGGAAGGCGTTGGAGTTGGAGGGGGTAGGGTGGGTTCAGGAGGTGGAGGCTGAACTGGAGCAGGTGCAGGGGGTGGAGCAGGGGGAGGTGGAGCTACCAGTGGAGTTGTTTGTGCAGTTGTAGGTACAGTTGTGGGTACAGTTGTGGGTAAAGCTGTGGATACAGCTGTGGGTACAGCTGTGGGTACAGCTGTGGGTACAGGAACAGGTACCGGTGTGGGTAAAAATAGTGGTGGTGCTGCTGTAACTACAGGTGGGAGCACAGGTGCAGGAAGTGGCTGGGGTTGGGTGAGTGGGGGAGGCGGGGCTTGGACCCTTATAAGAGGAGGTTGTTGACTGACAGAGGGAAAGTGTTGTTTATGGACAGGGGCAGGGGGGTGATGATGTGGAGGGATTTTAGTTGCTGTTGCTGGAGCTGCAGTCATGGTCAAAGCTGATGGGAAAAAAAAAAGCTGTGAGAAGAATGAAAACAATGACATGATGAATGACCACACGACCTTTTCCAGAAGCGAAATCACAGGAGTGACCTACTCAAACGGTATCCACCCTCTAACACCTGTTCTTAGAGGGTGGGTTCTGCTGGATGGATGCAGATCCTGATGGTAGCATACATATTCACTACCACTAGAAGGAACTCAGTCATGTTGAATTTCTCTATTATTATGCAGGCTGAAACCTGAGCCAATCCCGGCACAGAAACCTGGACCTGGTCAAGGGACTACATCTCTCAGTACTAACATGCTTTCACCAGAGGAATTGTCCCCCAAGAACCTTTGTGGAATCCTGTTATAGTAGTTTCCAGTAAAGGAGCTTGGGTCAGAGAGAAGTTCGGGAGAGACAATGTTTATGCCCCCAACAATGATACTTTGAACACTCTGAAGGTCCAGGAACTTTTGGTTGGAGCGTGCACTGCTATACACTATTTATTGGAATAGTTTTGTAGCCACAATTTTAAAATAATTCAAAACAATGTGCTGTTTTTGTCATGAGGTGGTCTACATTAACTGGGGTTGTTATCCTTTATTTTTGTTCATCTGACTGATTTATATTCTGTATTCACAGGACTTTAAGGTAAGGTGAAATTAGTCTTCATTTCACTGGAAAGTTCCTGACTGTGGAACAGTAATGTGAAGTTTTTATTTACACATCTCAGCACTCATCTTTTATCAGCAGTGCCACTGAATCACTAAATTACTACCACTACAGGGGGCTTGTTATTAAGGAGTTACTACTCTAAGTAGGTAAACTTTCAGTTCATTACCTGTCTGCGCAGAGTCTAAAAAACAAACAAATCCTTGTTAGATAGCTATGACCCTCAGTGGTCCATATGCGGGTGCTTACTGACTCCTAACTATGTCATTTTCATTATTTGTCCCAGAAACCAGTGAACACTCTGTAGCTAAAGCAAAAATCTCAATGAATTTATTCAATTAATCATCTGACGTAGATAGGAAACCACTGTTATATTCTATTCTATTCTTTTCCATAAGTATTTTACAAATATTATTTTATTAAAATGACAAAAATTCTTTACTGCCAGCATCTCATGCTTGAACTTTTCTGTGACACAGAATTCAAAACCTTTTGAATCAGTTAATTACGTTTTTTAAGTAACAATCAATTCATTAGCTTACTGCTGCTGTTCTGTGTCAGTAAATGTGCAAAATTCAGTTTAGATAGCTCATGGAAGGATAGGGTGCAGGTATTTAACAAAACCAGAGAAGACACTGAAAACAAACAGTTGCTATCAGCATTTTGTCAAACCCTGAATATTTGCTCTGGTTTCTTTTTAATGGGTTTGGGATTTCCCAGCTTGTGTCTCTAGGCATTTAATATAACACACATAGGTAGAGTCATAATTTATGTGAGACAGATTTTGTAGCTTTTGTCTATATTGTATGCAACCACAGTGCAGACTCTCAGCTTTAATTTAAGCAGTTGTGGATTAACTATTTAGGTTTTCTACAGCTATCTTTATACACAGTTCTCCATTTTCAGAGGCTCAAAAGTAAGTGAGGAAGCTGACAAGCTGTTTCATCACCAGGTGAGACCTGTTCCCTAATTTATTTATAACAAATAATGTAGACACAATATCTTGTTGATTTAAAGTGTTTGATTTACATTTTCACTGTAAATATGAAAATATTGAAATATGAGGCCCTGCCTGTATAATTGTATGAAATTAATTAAGTTAATGAAGATCTGGAGTTGAATTGGATTGAATTTGTATTCTTTCACTAAAACTTTCAACATGAGGTTCAAATACATGCCAGTGTAAGTGAAGGAGGACATTGTTAGGCTGAAATACCCAAATGAACCAGTCAGGCAAAAACTTTCTTAAAAAGACTGAATCCACCGAGCAGCAACACCAAAAGACCACAGAACACAGAAGAGCATGATGACAGAGTCTAGTCTAAGACCCGACTTGACACACAGATGTAGACAAACAGGCACACTCAGACACAAACGTGCATTCCCACCCTCATGCACACATATCCCAGATGGCGATTGTGTGCTGTTCTGAAGTGGGAACATGGGAGTGGGATGGTACCAACGACCCTCTGCCAGATAGCAACCGGTGTCAGCACAGACCCTCCCGAGAAACCTCAATGTCTACATATATTCAAAACTGAGTGATAATTGACACCAATTTATCTGTCGATCTCAAGCTCCTGTCTCCCATCACTCATGAACAAGACCCTGAGATACTCAAACTCCTCCACTTGGTGTAGAAACTTGTCCTTGACTCGGACTGGGAACTCCACCCTTTTATGGCTGAGGATCATGGCCTCCGATTTGGAGGTGCTCATTCTCATTCCCACCGCTTCAAACTTGACTGCGAACTGTTCCAGTGCGAGCTGGAGGCCATCACCTGATGAGGCCAACAGAACTACATCCTCTGTGAAAAGCAGAGATGAGATTCTGAGACCACCCAAGTGAAAGCCTTCTGCCACACTCCGATGGACACGGTTGAATGCCTTCTTCCATGACCAGGACAAAAACCACATTGTTCCTCCTGTTTCCGAGGTTCGACTAACAGCAGCACCCTACCATAAAATATCCCAGAGAGGCTGAGGAGTGTGATCCACCTATAGTTGGAACGCACCCTCCGGTCCACCTTCTTAAAGATGGGAACTGCCACCCTGGTCTGACAATCCAGAGGCCCCTGATCTCCATGCAACGTTTCTCCACAATGCAAAATTGTAGAGGCATGTCAACCAAGACAGCCCTACAACATCCAGAACTTTCAGGAACTCAGGGCAAACATCAACCCCCCTCCAGGGGCCGTGCAACCATGGAGTTGTTTAACTGCCTCAGTGACCTCACCCCGGAGATAGATGAGTCATCCCCCTCGTCCCCAGACTGTGCTTCCGCCACGGAAGATGTGCCAGTGGGATTAAGGAGGTCGTTGAGGTATTCCTTCTACCACCTGACAATCTTCTCAGTCAAAGTCAGCAGGGCTCCACCCACACAATACAGAGTGCAGGTTTCTCTCTTCGAGGCACTCCAAAATCTTTTTCCTCTCCGAACTTCTCCTACACCCATGTTTTTGCTTCAGCCACTGCCCGACCCACTTTCTGCTTGGTCTGCCTATGAAGTCCCACAGGCTAACCAAGCCTGTTAGGCCTCATTCTTTAGCCTGGTGGCTCCCGTCACTTCTGGTGTTCACCACTTGGTTCAGGGTTACCACCACGACAGGCATCAACCACCTTGCGGCCGCAGTTCAGTACAGCGGCTTCAGCAATGGAGGTGCTAAACATGGTCCATTTGGACTCAATGTCCCATTCTCCCTGGGAATGCTGTTGAAGCATAATAATAATGCTTCAACAGCATTCCCAGGGAGATAATGATTAATAATCATCATCATCATCATCATTGTTATTATTGTTATTATTATTATTAAAGCAGCTGTGGTTTTGTGTGTGCTACAATAGTTGGGCAGCTGGAGAATTACGCACATTGGAAAGTCAGTCAATAAAAGACGTGTTAAACTGCAATGCTACTGTTGTTGGGTCCTTCATTGCCACAATGGCTAGATGTTGATCTACTTAATTCTGATCTGCTGCTGAGTCTCTTTCACTTTGCTGAAAACACAAAACACACACCTGAATTTTACCAGTCTGAAGTCATAACTCTCATCAATTACTGCAGCATTCACGACTTGTCTCATTTGCAAAAGTGCTACAATTTTTATCCACTTTTATCATCGTCATCTGTCTGTGATTGGACTAGGCACCATTTGCAGTATTCATTATTTATTTTGTGTGAAAGAAGTTACACTTCATTCATATTCATACCCATTAGGAAATTATCTCAGACCTCATCTTGAAATTTGTAAAACCTCTATTTTTCTCTATTTTTTTAATAAGTCTGCAGGTTTGCCTTTGTATAAAACACAGGTTTGTTGTAGGTGGATGGTGGTGGGTCCATCAGCAGATTGGTTCAGAGATGCTTGGAGGTGCTGTTTGACTAATATCTCAAGTATACGCACTTCTGTCGAGAGCTCCTTTGGGGGGGACAGCAGGTAGCTGGCGTCCTCGGCGACCACAAATAGGCGTCCCCGTTGGGCTTGTCAGGGTGGAACCGCCTCCAGCATTAGCCCTGATGAAAAAATAAATAAATTCTTAAAAAGAAGAAGAGAAAGAAATTAAACAATCAAACCGCCATCCTGACAGGAGAGATTTAAGGTCAGATGTCAGGGATGACAGTCAGTTTGAGGTTCCCTCCATAGTCACAGATAGAGTTTGATCAGCATTTAGTCTGGCACTGTATTCAGTCAGTTAATGAAAAGTCTGCAGTCACTCCAGATGTTTTTGCTTGAGAAGCAGTAACAAGCAAAAGTTAGAGTGGACTCTTCTTGCACATGCAGCCACACCCAACTGTGATGTTACAGTGTCCTGAAGCATACCTGTACATCACACAACCAGGTAGGAATGTAAACCTTTGGACGTCATTAATTCTGTATAACTGTTGGAAAAAAAATTATAACATGAACAGAAAGAATTCACACTTGAAACAAAGAGTGCAAGGCCCCATCACTGCTGAAAACCTGTTTGTAGCTCTAATGTCTCTTAGACGTTACAAACAAATCTGTCTCTGTGAAATACAGATACATACAGCTGACCAACATCAGCTGCCACTGGGTGTGTTCAGAGCTGTGATAGAGGCAGCACTGTGATCGCAGACAGAAACCTCCCTGCTTAAATTTGGTACTTGTATGTTGCAGGCAATACGCCTGAGTGCCAAGCCCAGTTTGGAGGAAACTGAACATCCAACAGTTAGGTGTCAGAAAGTGAACAGAAATTCTTTAGAAGCACATGCAACACAACCATCAAACAAATGAAGAACAACAACACAGACTAACTTGCCACCCAAAATAAAACAAAACAATCAGAATATAAAAGCTGCGGCCAAATATGAAATGTTCAGGTGTTGGTGATGTCACTGGGACATATGGTGGGGCTAAAATAAAGGCGAAAAATAAAACTGTTGTGGTCACCATTGAGTCAGAATTCATGCTTGTCTAAAACAAACAACCAACCAAATTTAAAAAAAAAAAAACAAAAAAGAAAAAACCATGCCCCAAACATGGAGATAGAGCTGCTTTCTAATTGGATGGCTGAGGGTCACCTGATCAAGGCAGGTGAGGGGGGAGCAGACCGTCCAGACCTCATGTGTGTGGAGTCAGATCGATCGGTTGAGTGTGAGCGTGTGTAGATGGGTCGGTCGGCTGAACGAGATCGGCTGTAGTAATCTCTCCGGTCCATCCCACGACTGTACCTGCACATCACCATGATAACTGTCACCTAGATTACTATGACAACCACTGCAGCTGCAGGACAGGTCAGTTATCCACGTCGCGCTGACGACCAGATCTTTGTCACATGTGGTGGACTGGGAGTCATGAAGTATAAGGCACTGAAGGCTGATAAAATGCCACCAGAGAAGAGGATGCTTTTATTTGGCACTGAATTTCCCAGAGGGCTTCAGTGAGACAGTAGAAAAACAGTGTTCCCTCGATCTGCTCTACACAGTGTCAGCAGCCTTTCATTCTTAAGTCTTACACCTGAACTAGAAAATATTTTTTAAAAAGTTTTATTTGCTTTTGCTTATCTTCTGCTTGCCCCTTACTTACTTTTAATTTGAATTAATGAGGGCAATCACTTTAGATAAAATAATTATTGTGGGAGATGTTAGCATTGATGGTAAGTTTAGCAACAAAGCACTAAAATAAATATCAAAACCTGCAGTTCCTTTGAGGTCCAACAGAGGCTCCAGCAGTGAGTCAGTCCTCCCGTATTAAAACTTTACAGCAGAAATAAACATGATTACAGCCTGATACAAAAACTGGTCTGGTCTGTATAGATAATTTTCCCCTTCATAACCCCTTCATATGAGGAGGATGTTTTCATAACTCACCCGTTTAAACTGGCTTAAAATTTCCATTATTAGTGGCGTGGCCTCTTTGACTAACAGGTGGATGGCAACACAGATGGCTGTAGCTGCTAGCTCCCTGCTAGACGTCATCTCAGCAAATCAGTCTCTGAACAGGACTCTGGACCATGTTTGTGATGTTGGAGCCTTTTGGAGCATTTTTAAATTGTATTATCTGACCAATAATATGGCTGCTGCAAGGTTAATGTAATAACAGACTGTCTAAGAAGTTTCAGCCCCACATTTGGTGAAATTCTAGGATTTTATTTTGATCTTTGATCTTAGACATAGATACCTGTTAATTACTAAGTCAGGGGTGTCCAAACTCCGGCCCGCGGTCCATTTTTAATTGGCCCACAAGTAATTTTATATATAGAATAGACTATGACCCGCACTTCAACTTTTGCTTGAGTGTATTGCACTTCTTAGTCTGTGAAGGTTCTCAGTCATCCAGGTCATCGTAGTCAGATGACCTGAAGAAGCTTCTCGGATGAGAGGTGAAACGTCTTCAAGCAACTTAAAGAAGTCCAGACGCTTTTCTTTGCAAGCTCCTTTGATTGCACTTCTTAGTTTTAACACCAGGAGGAGCTACTGTTGATCAAGGCAGTTGCTCCACCAAAAAGGACAATGGTAAATGGCCTGTATTTATATGGCGCTTTACTAGTCCCTAAGGACCCCAAAGCGCTTTACATATCCAGTCATCCACCCATTCACACACACATTCACACACTGGTGATGGCAAGCTACATTGTAGCCACAGCCACCCTGGGGCGCACTGACAGAGGCGAGGCTGCCGGACACTGGCGCCACCGGGCCCTCTGACCACCACCAGTAGACAACGGGTGAAGTGTCTTGACAATCACAGAAGAAATTTAACCCAAGTTACTAAACATGGCAGAACCCAAGAAGCGAAAGGTAGAAAGTGAGTGCAGAAAATTTCAGACACGGTGGGAGAGTGAATATTTCTTCAAAGAATTCAAGGGGAAGTGTCTGTTTGATCTGCACTGAAACTGTGGCAGTTATGAAAGAGTATAATGTACGACGTCATTATGAAACCAAACATCAGGCCTATGCATCCGACACTGGTGCTGAGCGAGAGCAGATATTAAAGCAAAGGGTAGCTCTCCTGCAGGGTCAGCAACAGTATTTTTTTCGTGCTCAAATTGTCCAGGAAAAGGCTCCAACAGCCGGCTATGAGGTCGCCCAACTCATCGCAAGACATGGCAAGCCTTTTTCAGATGGAGACCTCATAAAACACTGCCTCGTTAAAGTCACCGAAATAATGTGCCCAGAAAAAGTGCAGGACTTCAACAACGTCAGCATGTCCAGAGATACAGTTGTGCGACGCACTGAAGACTCCTCAGCCAACATTAAACTGCAACTGTCTGATGAAGCTGTGCTTTTGATTTTTACTCCATCGCATGTGATGAGAGCACCGACGCCACAGACACCGCACAGCTGCTAATTGTTTTGCGGGGAGTGGACGAGAGCACTTTAGGTGAGTAAAAAATATATTCCACAGTACCCGTGTGTTAATGTGCAGGTACACATGCTTCAAATATCAATAATGCGCATCAATTCTGTCACTACCCTGCTTTTGCAGACCACTTTCTTATATGCGTTTATCTTGTTAACACTAAGAGTACACACCGCTGTGCACAGCGCACACACACGCAAAATCAGCTGATCTCCTCTGATGCACATCTGCTTCTTGATCAAGTGACATTTGTCAGGATTTTTGCCACGAGTGGCGATCAGCACCGCAGCTGGATGGCCCGATTTACATACGTATCGGCACAGCTGATACTCACCAGAATAATTTACTAAAATTAGTTATTAAGTCTGTTATTAAGTCCAGTTCAGTCTGTTAATGTTGATAACGGTTTCAAACAAACGTTAATAGGTGTGTTGCTAAGCCTAATAACTTAAATAACAAGCTTGAAATGTACTCGTCCCATTTTCCCCTTTATTGTTTTTTCTCTGTGCTGTAAATCTTCCGTCTAAGAAGAAATCTGAGGCTGCTGTTCTGAGAATGAGCAACCAAAGCTTTTTCTGAATAAATCAATAAATATCCATTTATTGAAAGCTGGGATGAAGGCAGTTTTGTCTTTAATTATATTCAACAATATAACATATTTGACCACTTTTAAATGATTTAATAATTAATTAATTAATTAATTAATACACTAAAGTTAAGGTTACATACCTAATTTCTAGTAAGTGGCCCAGCCCCTCCTATATTTTTATGTATGTGGCCCTCAGTGAAAAAAGTTTGGACACCTCTGGTCTAAGTGATGCTCCTGTACAGTCTTTGAATGCAGCTAGATAACCGAGCTAGCTAGAATTAGTTTATAAATGAGAACTTCATCCTTGAAATATGAAACAAAAAGACCAACAAAAATAAAACAAAAATTACAAAATAAAAGCAGGTTAAAGTTGAGTCCAAATGTGGACTCCAGAAACCAGTGGGTAAGAAGACAGCTACATCATAAACATAACTACTCTCATAATGTAAATAAACCAAGTCAAGTTTTAATTGCACTGCGGATCTTGTACATCATAGAAATTTAGCATTTATGTCCTGAAAGTCATTGCACTGCGTCATCAGAGCACAAATGTTCATTTGACATTTCCCTGGAAAACATCATGATGATCCTTAAGATTTCTGGGAAAACATTCTGTGAATCGATGACACAAAAGCTGAACTTTTTTGGAAGGTTTGAGTCATGTGACATGTGACATAAAGCTAACATGGTGGCGGTAGTGTAATGATCTCAGGCTGCTTTGTTGCTTCAGGACCTGTACAACTTGTTGTAATTGATGGAACCATGAATTCTGCTCTCTACCAGAAAATCCTATAGGACATTAAATCTCATTTAAATGAGATTAAGATGCTCTGAACTTGAACAGGCTGTTCATGCTGGAAAATCCTCCAATGTTGCTGACCTAAAACAATTCAGCAAAGCAGTGTGGGCTATGATTCTTTCACAGTGATATAAAAGACTCACTGCTCATGCAATTCTTGCTGCCAAGGTAAGCAGTTATGAGGTTTAGTGGAGAAAAATTGTTTGATCGGGAACATTTAAGCCTGACAAATATCCCCACCCCCCTCAAAGTTCATTATATAACTTGCTTCATTCACACCCTTTCACACAAGCACTTTTTTCCCCCTGTGCTTTCTATCTAACATTCACACACCGATGAACACGTCAGAGAGCAACTTTGGTTTCTGTGTCTTGCCCAAGGATATTTGGCATGCAGACTGCAGAATCCTGGGACAGAACCACCAATATTGATTAGTAGATTGCCTGCTCTACCTCTTGAGCTACAGTAACTCCTAAAAAGAAATCAGGGGCTGATACTTTTTCATGACACTGTATAAAGTGTCAATTCACAACAGTTGGCTTAAGGTGCTTTATGCTGTAAGGTTGAGATGCTACAATATTAGAGAGAAACCCTAATAACCAGACAATGCCTGGTGAGCAAACACTTGGCAACAGTGGGAAAGAAAACCTCCCTTTTGACAAGAAGAAAACTTAAACAGAACCAGGCTCAGGAAGGGGTAGCCATCAGGCCTAGGACCAGGTTTGGATTAGGGAAACAGGCCCCCCATTTACTTTTAAGATAAGACTCAAAACTTTCCTTCATAATAAAGCTTACAGTTAGGGCTGTATGCTAAATCAGCTCGCCAAAGACTCAAATCAGGCCCGCTGGGTGGCTTTCAAAAATGTGAAGAAGGACATAAATTTTGGACATTAGCTGTATTTTGTCTGTTTGAGTCTGTCAATTAACAAAATGTTTCCATTCCATCAATCTGGGCAATGAGGTCCCAGAACTTTTTATTTTATTTTACACATTATCTTACAATTTAAGCCCTAACAGTCGTGTTGACAGAATTCTTTCATTTACTTTTTTTTTTTTTTATAAATGTAGAAAAACTGAGATTTGTTCTTGAAATTTGAATCCCTTTTCTTACATTAAAATATCTCAGGGATAAAATGTGTAGTTAAGTTTATTACATTATTACTAGGGGTGCAACGATATTCGTATTGATATTGAACCGTTCGATACAGTGCTTTCGGTTCGGTATGCATATGTATCAAACAATACAACATTTGTAATTTATTTTATCAACTTTCCTTCTGACGATGCTGTCTGTGTGGAGCGCTCAGTGAATCTG